TAACTAAATTTATTTTCGCTAGTAACATATGTTTGACCCTGCTTAAAATTTGATGTGAAGTAATATATAACCCTCGTTATATTCTATTCATGTCTTGTGTTTTCACAAATCTGAAGTACTAAAGGTACTAAAAGTGTGTACTAGTACGTTTTCCCAATTGTACTAGTACGGTGCGCACTTGCAGATGTCCGATTAAGCCCAAGACTATGATGCAGGCTGCGATATACGAATGTTTATTAGTTAAGATATAATATGCATTGTTGCGCACAAGTTAATTAATTGCAAATTTATTTGCGCATAATGACAATGCACTTAGTCCCTGTATTTGCATTTGTACAATTGTAATAAAAGACCCTATATTTGAAGATATAGACTCTCTTTTAGGGTCTTAGAAACAAACTATAGATATATACTAACTGTCATTATCATTTCTACTAAAGTGTCTGCTTCAGTTAATGTATATATTTATTTATTTATTTTATTCGGTTCACCAAACAGCTTAAAACTAAATACATAATTACAAATGACAATAATGAACTAAAGAAACTAAGTTTTAAACCGAAGTAGGTGTACACAACATGACTATACAAAACAAATATGAAAAAAGCGACAAGGTGCAAGTATAATGTACTTTATATTTAATTCTTGTTTTAAAACTTGAATCAGATTGAATTTTTTTTTTGTAGACTCAGATTTAGCAATAACTTTATCATATGACTAATTGTAAAGAGAAAAGATTAGTATTTTTGTATTGAAATAACTCAAAAACTTTTAGGCCGATTTCAAAAATTCTTTCATCATTAAAAAGCTACGTTATCAGTGAGTAACAGCTCTATTTTTCCACAGGCGAAGTCGCGAGCAACAGCTAGTAAATTAAAACTAGCTAAGTACCTTTGGCTTTCTGTGAGCATATTTATTGCAGTGATAAACAAAACTTTATAGCACATCAAAATTGCCAGCCGCCTACACTATTCAATAATGCCTTGAGTAATAAAATGCAAGATTGTAAATTACTAATAATATTAAACGGTTTATTCAAATATACATAAAAGGAGCACGCTGTACATAGGGACTAAGTCTATATAAGGTTTAATTGGCGCCACCTATGCGACAATCATAGTCAGCTATAAACGTTTTTCTTATAAGTAATTTTGCAAACATGAAAGTAGAAATATATTGTAGCTTTCGTCCGCGATTCCGTGCGCGTGGAATAAAAAAGAAGTAAGTTACCTGTGTTCCAGACTTCCTCTACATATATACCAAATTTCATCGAACTCGGTTTAGCAGTTTATGCTACAAACTCTATCAAACATTCATCCATCTAAACTTTCGCATTTATAATATTAGTATGTTAAGATAGATATACCAAAGCGCATTATATACAAAGTTATGGTTTTAAAAGTCTTTAAATATGTTTATAAGTGTCCAGATCTTTGTTAAGAAATCCGATTATTCGACAACATGAACTAAAAGTCATTTAACAAGAGAAAATCGTTATCGAGGATTTTAGTGTAAGTAACATCGATAGTGGTACCGACGTCTTCTGTCTTATAGCACCGTTTCGTAACACTTAATAACTTCAGATTGCAGCCACAATAACCCGGATATGGTAATACCAGAGTTAAACATGAATTAATCGTAACTTACGAGCGAAAGTGAGGGATTTTGCATGACATCATTCCAGTCCTGACTCATGTCTTACACAAGGGAGGAATTGAGTTACAAAACTATAAATCTTCGATTGGATACTAAAGTTTTTAGCGCATACATCGTACACTTTATAGTAAAATTAATCACCTACTTGAAATCGGGTACACGAAAATGAGATCATGGTATTCAAAATGTTATAGATATAAACAAATAGATAGGCGATTGCTTGGAAGTGACGTGAGAATTCGTATAATATGAAAAAAATGTCGAATCGTCTGTTGCAAACGCCTATTAGCAAGAACGGTAGTTTCCAGTTTCTAGTCGACTAAAATTATACCTAATTTAAAAGTTTAGTTAACAGAAAATGTAGCATTTCGAAATGAAACTACCTAAATGAATATGTAGCGTAGATCTGATGGGTCAATACGTGCCAATTAAAAACCTTACAGCAATGAATTAAATAAAGGATTATTGCATATTTGATCCTATGAAGTAAGGGACGGCAACGAATAAGATGGGATGACGACTTGAGGTTTACTGCCGGTCCATATTGGAGAAGAGTTGCCGAGATAGAAAACAGTGGAAGTGTTTGGAGGAGGCCTATGCCAAAAGGCACGCTGAAATTAGAGACATACTATAAGTCACTATATTTAATCTAATTTCAGAATAATTGCTATATTATTATTATTATTGCACATTTGAAAGGGAAAGTGTATACAAAAGTGTGATCTATGAAGGTTTTATATAACATTCGTGACATTTAAACACATCAATTGCAGAGGATTAAGAAAGGTCATCAGTTAGTACGAAATGATTCACGATTTTGTTCTCTGTAATATAGATAAACTAATTTTCCCCGGCAATTCCGTCCGTAGAACTAAAAAAAGGAAAAACAAATCGACTATGTGTTCTTCCAGACAATTCTCTACAACTATGACAAGTTTCATCGATATCCGTTTAGCAGTTTAGGCTAGAAACTCTTTTTAAAAACATCCACCTAAACGTTCACGTTTATAATATTGGTAAGAAGTAAGATGTAGACTAAAGAATTTTAGAAATATGGAATTAAAAAGCTTAACACCCTCGCTGCTGAGGCTTTCCTAACATTATGAAACTAAAGTTATATATTTTTTATTCAACGGTAGAATTCTCAAGTATTTATCGATTTCGACATACCGTATTTGTCAGAAGTTGTCAATGAATGTAATTAAAGAAAAAATAATAATTACCGTTTGCTGTTTTAAAGACCGTGACCTGAATATTCATTAATTAACAAGTTTTCATTGAGAAATACGCTTAATTTCGGATAATTAACTTATACGCGATTAAATTAAGTAAAAAAAGACGGCCAAGCTAAAGCGAATTGGAAACACTATTTTTTAGTATAGAAAAGCGTATAGACGACGGAGGAGATACATAGGAAGGGGGAAATATCCTCTTTATGTGCGTCTCCTCTGTCGATTAAGGGTAGGCAATGCATCTGCAATTGCGGATGGGTAGATTCAGCGGATTCGTGTGGCCGCTTGCTCGTTTGCCGCCTTATAATATAAAAAAATCTAGATTGTCTAGTATTGAATCTAGTCCTTATTACGTTATTGAATTATTTCAAATTAAACAGGATCATCGTTAATTTCTCAAGAAAATCCTAGTAGCGTTTACAGTGTTAACATTGTTTGTATTGTTCAACACGTCACCATCATCGCTAGCTCACTATACCTCCCTACCAAAGGGCTCGTAGCTTACACTAAAGTAAGGGGGGGTAGGTCATAGTCAACCACGCTGACCCATTGCGTGTTGGTTGACTTCACATATATCTTTGAATTTCTTTGCCGATATGTGCAATTTCATCATCATGGCGGGAGTCAAATCCACGACCTGTAGATTGCAAGTCAAGTGCTTAACCACTGAACCACCGACGCTCTTTAACACGCTTGATTGTAAAAGGTGTTACTTTTTGCATTTGATTCTTATCCAAGTTAGTTAATAGATATCCAATATTGATAGACGTATAAGGATAAAAACACATCAACATTCTCTCAATACTGCGTACTGAATGCAAAATTTCTATGTCACGGCTGACACTATATTGGCTAAGAATTGTCAATGGTTCTTGAACTGATGGATTTATAGTTGCGTGACAGATTTATTCAAATCCAATAACGAAATAGCTATTCAAATAACTACAGCCATTTAAAGTAGCGATTTAACTAGTTAATTAATAGTTATTTATAACATTAGAATACAGTTTAGCGGTCGCACACCTTTGACTAAACTATTCTTTTTTTATATGAAAAGGGGGCTAACGAGCGGCGGGAACACAAAGGTGGTCAACGACGCCCATGGACATCCGCAACACCAGAGGAACTACGGCGTAGCCGGCCTTTGAGACAATTGTAGACTCGCTTCTTAAAGGACCCTAAGAAGTCTAGCGCACAAATGTGCGATTGTCGATTGTTTTGCAGTCAATTCAACTGTTTAGTTGCACAATTAAAAATTGAAAGAGCGCACCTCCTTATACGACAAATCGTGATAAAACAGTTGTGCGATAGTTTAGTTTCAGGTGTGCACACGCTCTAAAGATTACTTATTTATCAGAACACCTAAAGAGCTGCAATAGTATAGCTTTTTTCTGTGTACTGAACAGATTTTAGCGACTTAGTGTTTCATTTTGTATTAACGTCACAGTACTTACGTATTTTTTATTTAAACTAATACCTTATAAAGATTATAAAAAAGGTGCAATGTAAGGAGTAAACTTAATCGACTTAGATATATTAGGTATCGTAAAGAAGCCAAGTGGACGTTAATCGTCTAAGCGGACAATGCCCTATTTAACTTGTCCAAGGCTACGGTAGCTTTGACAAATATGCTAGACTATCTTTTCAATTTAATTCTATTAGAAAATAAAAATCGGCTCCTTGACTATTAACAATAAATATACTTAATATATATCGAGTTAAATGGACATGTTATGCGACGAGACGATGGGGTATAAACCAGAAAGTGTTAATGAATGTGGATGGCTACAAAGGTAGAGGAAGACCGGAAAGTATGGATGGATTGTGTGAAAGAGGATATGCTTAAGGGAGTGGAGTCAGATATGACGGCTGATAGAAATGTATGGAAGAGCAGCACATACTGTGCCGACTCTACAGAAGAGTTAAGAACAAATTGATGACATATCGAGTTAAATACGGTAACAAAACATCCTATTGAAACTTAAAATTCCTTAGTTCCGTCTAACAACATAAACGTACTTAAAGCCTTTGCAAACATTAATAAAAATCTCTTGAGAATTTTAATAGTAAAAGCTTCTAATAATACTAGCGTAGTAAAACATGCAGACTGACCTGGAAGTGCAGGATAATAGTCCAGATGAGGCCAAGGGTGAGTTTAGGGTTGCCATCGACGATGTCTTCCGCGCGGATGTTGACAAGTTTGATCTTCTTGTACCGCAGAAAGTCCAGCGCCATCTGGACGTTCTGCAGCATGTGGAAACGCATACGGCCTCGTTCACGCGGCTGGAATACGAAAGGAAGTGTGGTTAATTATTTGCTTCTTTGTTTTATTAGACGATGAAAAGTTTAATATGATGAAAGTTTGGATTTAATCAGTAAATTTTATTGTTGGATTTTTTTTTGTTACTTAAATTTCCTTACATATTTCTATATCACTAATCTTTTCTTATATAATAAAGCGTAAACACACTTAGGGGGTAAAAAAATTGGAAAAAAAAACCTTAATGTGGAAAAGGGACCACAAAGTACAAGCTACCTAAATTAAGGAATCTATTGTTATCCAATGTCAAAGGCCTTCGTTGTCATTTGTGCATTTGAATTTTGATATTTGCAAATAATAAAGTTTTTATAATTTCATGCGGATCAAGCCGAATGGGAACAGCTAATTATTTCATAAAACGAACACGAGTTATTTTCATAGTTAATTATTTAAAGCACTTCACTCATTATTATGATAAAGTGAGTGTAAAAACGCATATCATGTTAAATGAAAGTATTCTAATGGGCAAGGCGTGGTTCGTAATTTATTAGACTTTAATATTGAACAAGAGTAATCACTTTCATATTATAAAAAGATGAATTAACAAGTCAAAAGGACTTAAATTTTGCTTAGGCCACTTCGGTTCTTTTGTAAATATTTGTAATTCAACTAATCAGTGTACCGTCTAGGGTTACCATCTTCGGATTCGGGTCTTTGGGTGAGAAGGTGTGAAGCTCTGACGTAAGACAAGGATGTTATTTTCGTTACTATAAAAGTTGACAGCCCTAGTTCCGACCCCATGTAACTAAAAGATATAGGGTTGCTTCCGATTTCCGGACACACCTGCCGTTTTATCAGCTGCGATCGTCTATTACGTAACTTTTAAAAAGTCAGCTTTAAAACAAGAAATTAGATGTTTTTTAATCTGACCTTTTAGCCTCACCTGTACCCGTAATTATCATATAGACGGTTTATCGAATATTGGCCATGTGTTTAGTGAGTTACGTTAAGATACAATTTTAGTAAATGATAGCTACAAAAAGAAATAAACTTGCTTATTATGATTAGTCTAGAGGTTAAAATAGTATATGAAATCTGGTTGAGAATTTGGAGTGTATACAATGAATAAAAACTGCAAAATTCCTGCAAAAACAATTTTTTTTTTAAATCGATGGGTTGTGATTTTTTGGCATATATCGTAAGACTCTCTATTTCTAGATCATTGTTGTTATCAAAGACAATAAACTAGTTTAAAAATACAGATTCAAATTTGTCGTTTGACTTGATTTCTCAACACTTAATAATATGACTATAGTCAGGTTACAAAGCACTGTATCAAGTCATAAATCTTAAATACTGGTCTGGAGAATTAGAATAACTGGTTACCATAGAAACTAACTTGTTTCGATCGAGATAAAATTTGAAATTGTAATTGTAATTCTTATGATATCCTATATGTTTGTCATTGTACTCCGATAAGATACCTCCGCATTTAGAAATAAAGAAATCCAAATGAACACTAGCTTAACAAGCATTAAGCATAGTAACTATAATAGATTCAACTCAATTTGATGTGCGGGACAAGACCCGTAACTTGAATCGGCACGCCTGGCAGAAGAATGCTCTAGTTCCCTAAATGAAAAAATTATTTTCAACTTACTAATATTATAAATGTGAAATTTGTTAGAGTTTGTATCCTAAACGGCTTAACGGATCTCAAAGAAATTTGGCATAAATATAGGTGATAGTTTGGAAGAACACATAGGCTACTTGTTTTAATTCCACGCGGAAGAAGTCGCGGAATCAAGTAAATAAATAAAGTAACCAATACTCACAAGGTGTTCGCCAGAAAGCACCTCCAGCAGCGAGATGAGATTGAGTCCATCGCGCAGGTCCTCGAATAGATCGTTCACATGTCGATTCACCTGCGAACATATTCCATATTAATATACAAATAAATTAACATATAAAATGCTTTATATATCGTGCATTTCGTGTTAATAAAACACAACAGTGCTACAAAAATCCGATCTTAAAAAACAACGTTAATAAAATGCAACTATTAAAACTACAAAATAAGAAACAAGGATTACAAAACCTGTGAATTATAAAAATTAGTAATACAAATAAATTTTAGTGCCAATTAAAAATACAAACGTTAAACCAAAACTAAATAACACACAATACTAATATTTATACGACAATTCGTAGGTTTATTGAGTTACATTAAAAGAAAAAATCATTACAAATAGTTTTAAAGAAAACAAAAAAGGATAATAGTTGCAAAATATAACAAAAAGTTTACAATTTGAATTACATTACTGCTTTGTTTATTTTTCAAATTAAATCAGTAATACATTATACTCGTATTCTTGTGTTGTGTGTATGTTACATTTTTTTTTCTTTTAATTATAAAATAAAATCTTTTATTTTATGGCATAACAAAATTGAGAGATCTTAACTCACACATCATATAGATGAACCATTTAACACTGAATGAGACGTTTTAAAACATTCATTAGATGCATAAAAGCGTGCGCACACCTTTTACTAAAATACCGCACAACTGTTTAGTCTCGTTTTAATTCCTACAAGCTTATACGGAGGTGCACAGTACTCGATCTTTAGTGCAACTAAACAGTTGAATTTGCTGCGAAACAATCGACAATCGCATAACAGTTATGTCATGCCCATTAGGGGGAGAGTGACTACCAAGGAACGGACGAAATAACTTGTAGGGAGTCAAGAAGGTGCGTGCGGAGCCGAAACCGGCCAAACCGCGCGCCCCTACCGCGATTCAGCCCGTATGATCGAGGGTCGGTGGGGCCATGGGTGGTGGTGGTGCTATAATATAATAATCGCATAACAGTTATGCGATAGTTTACCAAAGGTGTGCGTTCGCTCTAAATGAGACGTTTTAAAACATTCATTAGATGCATAAGACATTATAACTACAGCAATCAAATACGCATCAACGTACGTCGAGACATTAGAAAAATCAATCATCAACCTTAACAACTATATTTCAAATCGCAATCAAGTCATGTTATTAAAAAACATTCTAACCGAGCTCACGTATTCAAATAATGCTAGAAAACAGTTTATTCCATTTTATTGCTAATTAAAAGAAAATGTGTCACTAGTATTAGAAATTGGGTTAAAAAGTAGATTTTAGTTTTTAAGACCGAATTTAGTATCCATCTAAGTAATAACATGGATGAACATATTAATACAAAGATTATTGTAGAACATTTTGATATTATAAATCTTTAAGGAACTAGATTATTCATAGTAAAGTAGAAAAAACCTTAAATAATTGTATATTTCATGCAAATACAAGCTATAAATAACGAAAAAACTCAGAAAACATCTAAAATTATACTGTAGGTTAACACTATCGAAACACTTGAATCAAAATATATCATCCATCTATCAATCTTTAAAAAAAATAGATGTTTTAATACAAGTATAACCACAGTGGAGACGGTAACAGCTTGTTAGATCACACCTAACTTACTTGTTGAGGAGGACAACACGGTTGGTTATTGACGATCTCGCACACATGTAGCCGTGTGTAAGTCTGTCCGAGCAGCGTGAAAGTAAACACCTGGTTGAGGTTCATCATTGTTAACAAATTCAACGACAAATACTACTCTATCTAAATACACACAACGTCTAAAACCCAACTACAGACTTCTAAAATCAACCCATGAACAACTTTACCTCCTAAGGTTGTTAAGAGATATAAATTCCATACATGGGTCGAAATATCAAAATTTACATGATAAAAAAAACAAAGGTGCTGACAAATGTATAGATAGACTAGAAACTAAATAAAATGTAGATGATAATGATGTAGATGCAAATAAAATCACTCGATGTGTAATTACAAAAGAATCAAAAACGTTTTGGCAAAACTTTCATGGATTTATGTTGAATATATCATAACGACATTAAATAAGCTACGACAGATATAAAAGAATTATTCGTGACATTTAGTAAAATATGCATGCAAGAAGATTTAAATTGAAAAATACTTATAAATAAAGGAATTGAAGTTTTGTTCTCAATCACAACTATCAAGCACTCTTTACTTTCTTTAGAATGCTTGAAATACATTAAACCAGAATTCTACTACTTCAATGTTCATAAAAAAAAACTTAAACTGAAATATAATATTAGAATATATACATCCGTGTATGTTACAGACCTTCAAATACTTCCAGTGCTGCTCCGAGTCCAAACGATAAGCGATGAAAGAACAAAACATATGAACACACGTTTAATTTATCACTAATTGACGATTGTGCTGAAGCTGTCACATATCTTATGCTTTAGAATACTGTTAATCAATATAATACTTGGTAATTTTTTAAATAAGAATTTCTATTTCTGTAATATCCCTGAGAAAAATTAGAACAAGAATGGTCCAATATCGGATCCTTGAGGGATCCATCAAATTGTAATAAAATTAATTGATGTTGGGAAAGTTATCAATGATTGTGATATACGAAATAACTAAAATTATTATGACGAATTAAAATAAATCAGTATCTCTATGTTATGGTTAATATATCGCTAAATGTGTTGATGTTTGAAATATGAATGCAATTTACAATTTATTCAGCGATTTGTATTGAACGATGATTTTACGACATCAAAGATTCGCTCATACGAATACAAATGTAGAGTGACCTTTTTGGCATTTTCTATTGTGGTATCTATGATTTATAATATAGTTTCCACTGTAAGTTCTATGACTGTGGTACAAATGGACGTGAACTGTTTATTCGTTTGAGTCATTACGAATGATTAATATAAACCATTAGGACGTTCGGTTACAGATGTGAATAACATTCGGTCGATGATTAATGACAATTCTGGAAATAATCTTTGTACGGCCGTTAAAGGAAACTGTTTACCGTAAAGGAATTTAAACGATGTTTACAGCTGAAATTAATTGACTGATTTCTAATTTTGGAACACTGAATCATAATAGAACTATTATAGTGAACGAATACAAGATTTTTTTCTTCATAAGTATAGTAACAATAATATAGTAATCGGTGTTCTGCTGGTTATCGCACAAATTTTCCTTTAATATATGTCTCTAAAAACATGGATAGTTATTTTTATAACTTCTTACTATTTACTAGCAGAAGGCAAATGCCCTATTGACTCATATCTACTATTACAAAATAATCAACAATCAAGTGTAACAGATTGTCTTTTTAAGAGTGTAATGACTATACAGTTATCTATTAACTGCAGCAAATAACCAAAATGTATTAATATGCTCCTCACCTTTCATGTCTTTGGATATATTTTGATTAGTATGTAGGCACTTGACTATTGTTAAGTCAAAATCCATAAATGTCTCTGGTATGTTAACGTTCAATAATTATAACAGTAAGTGGGTGTTATTAGTTTTGTGGGCGAGTTGTTCTCGGCGCCAGGTAAGGCCATCGGCCATATGGCACACGTGGCACGTAGCTCGTAAATTAACGATATTACACCCACGAAATATACTAAAGGATTACGTCAACGGTGTAACTTGAAACTTGAATGTCAAGCTTGAATACATATAAGGATGGGAAGTTTACTTGAGAGAGCGACAAAGATGTCGAGAAGAGATGAACGGATTGCGTAAGGTATGATCAAGGGAGTGACGACTGTGATAACCGAAGGTCCGATCTATCTATTTAGAGAACTAAAACTTGGACACTCGGATCTAAGTGAGTTGGATAAGGATAAGGGGTTGAGGTTTAGTGAGTGAGGACTTCGAAAGACTATTATTAAAAAGGACCTGTCCCACCACTGGTTAAAAGAGGCTCATATAGCTTAAAAATGACGTCACTGTCAGATAATGTAACAAAATCCATTTTTCCTATCACATATTTTACATGTTAGTGTTATCATATAATTTAAAATATGGTGGAACAGGCCTAAGTCATCTTGTAACCAAAATTAGAGGTTACCATCGACTATGTTAGCCTGAATAAAGCTTACTTCGTGAGACGTTATTTTCTTGTCGACAGAATATACAAATAATAAAAACATGATGTTATTATTTTTTACAAAGTGATTTAATCCAAGATATTGTAAGAGAAATTATTGCATACAAGCAGAGCTAACGATGCCATTAACCCATTTAAATTGAAGATAATTCAAAAGTCATAAATGCAATAAGATTACATTCAAACAACGCTGAGTAATGGTATAAGTGATGAAAGTTTTGTTTATAATCTTAAATAAAGAAATAAGATGTTTTAGTTAAATCAGGAAAGAGTGAGATAGCAAATTAGAGTATACGAATTATTCTAAAATGATGGAAGTATCGACAGGAGTGATGTACAGTAAAATTGGGTTTTTCCTTAATTTTGAGTTACTCTGCGATTTTTTTATTACTTGGATTCACAATTTGACACAAAAATGCAATAAAGGATTACCGAAACGAATTTGCAAAGGGGTCCTAAAAGGAAAAAAACAACTGGCAACCATAAGGTACTACGATTTCGTATATACATGTAGTATTTAGTTAACCACTGAGGATACTGTCCACGTCAATTTTTCATCTCATAAAATCAATTACGTCAACACAAAAGTGACTCAAAAGAAATCCAAGAGCTGATTTACAAATCATCAATTTACATACAGTCTCGACGTTTGACGCATGCTACAATAATGGACCTTGGATAACCTTGGAGCAAATTCTCGATGGGTTTTTCTATATCCCTAACGCCAATTTTCTTTGATCAATCGGAATCGAAGGAGATCTTAAGAACTGTCTTCATATATTTTTATCTTGATATATTTTACTAATGTGTTATCTCGCTTTCTATAACAATGCATTTATAACATTGCGATTGTTCTAGATTATTGTTAGGTAACAAACATTGACATCGATATCTAGTGTACAGCTAATCATAAAACATATAAATTATTAAGCACAGCATAGCAACCTATGGTAATATTTCCCACCTAATTACTTTTTCACCGTCAAATGAAATTTCTCCGAAATGGGTAGGAAATAAACGTCTTCAACTGTACAATTTCTTATCCCTTTGAACTGGGTTTATCTTAGCATGAGTCAGGCTGCGGGTCAAATGTTACAAACACGGCGCGCCTGACCGCTGCGTCAGCCTACACTACATCCTTTGTTCTAAGTTACCATAACATTAAATTATGTTGATACTAAAGTAAAAGCACTTACTTAGGAATTATCACTTATTCTTCAATATTTTAATTGTTTTCAGACTAAGATTATTGGTGATATTTGTCGACATGGACATGTGTGAAAAGATTGTATTATCGACAAAAGGCAGCAACAAATCGTGGTGTTAGTTTTGACAAATGAATTACTAAATTACATAAATGATGTTTGTCATTTAAAAAATATACTACAGTTATACACAACAATTTTGATAAGACAGCTCGATAAACATTCAATGAGAGCCTTTACCGTTAAGCCATATGTTTTCGACCTCTGAATCATGCGCTTACGAGAATATCTCCCCATATCGGATCGACAATATCCTTTCTGTTTAACTTTCACGTATCAAGGAGCGTCTTTGAATCATCAATAAGATGTCTTTGTTCTCTGTTGTGATCGAAACCGGCTGGTAAGATGAAGGATTCTTGAGCCAAAATAACAGACAAGACTGATTATACCGCAAGTTATTATGGCATTTTAAGAAGAATTCTATCTATTTACTACGATTGGCATCAGATAAAGCATGATGGCATTTATATATCCAAAGCAAGGGTAGAGCCCGCTTTAAAATTTTCGCACGACGGGGCTGGTGGAATATCACGACAAGACAGGCTTAAAGTGGGAGAAATTCTGCGTTTCGACTGATGAGTGTGGTGTCTGAGGTATAATTTTTCCTACCCCTTTCCACACTATTCTTATAAGGAAAAGATGGATAGGCCAAGTGGATTTGACGGTGGAGGAGTCGGAAGGGGAAATGTCTTTATGTGTGTCTCCTCCATCAATTAAGGGTGGGCAATGGGTCTGCAATTGCGGATGTCTATGGGCAGCGGTCGCATCGCCATTTTGGCGGATTTAAGTGGACGCTCGTTTGCCACCTTGTAATATAAAACAAGGGTGTGTGCACCTTTTACCACCCTACCAGCGTCTCATGCCAAATTTGGAGTGCACAGTATTGTTAAATAAAATATTTTTAAACTTATGCATCTTAAAGAAACATGCTGTAGTTCTCACTTTTGCAAACATTAATGCGTATTGAAACACATGCTTCGATATTTACTTAACACGAAGGATCAAAGTCACGTAATGTCGAACAAAGGAGATTGCGAATAACGCAGCCTTTGTACGTCTTTTGTGTACATTAAGCCTGCGACGCAATGTAAACACTGCAAGCGAATATCGCCCTTATTGTTAAGAAAGTACTATACAAATACCGTGCAAGTGAACAGACATTCGCATTTGTGTTCAAATGATTTTGAACCTTAACTTATTGCTGAAAGATTCATTGTTCATCATTTAATTTTGTGTTTACATTCGCGAATAAACAGCCTGTTTGTGATGATTTAAAATAGCACTTTCTGGAAATGTTATTAACGAAATGGTACATCGAATTATTTATTTATCATCCTCATACGGAAGTATTTTCCTTCAAATACAGTACAAAATCCTTAGTCATGCACAATCATACATGTTCAGTGTATAATCAAAAAAAAGAATAGAAGATAGAGTGAAGTGGAACAAATAACAAATAAAGCTTATCCCTATACTATATGGAAAAGTTAGGGAGAGAGAGAGAACGAGAGAGAAGTTCAGGACCTAATCGTTGCTTCCATCAATATTCGTTATCAAAACAATTGACGATTTTAACTAGATTTTAATGACAAATTCACAGAAGAAACTTCTGTAAATACAGATTAATACGCCTGTTAAAAGCAGGATTATTCTATACCTATGCGTAAATCTTTCGTCATCGACGTTAGCATATCAATACATTCGCCACACGCGCGTACGTCACGACTTCCTCACGACACTGTCACGTCGATGTCAATTTATTAAACACGATTCGATTAAGATTCAATACAATCAATGTCATTCGTAGGTTGAAGTATGGAATAGTCTTATCGAGTTAAATATTGAAACTTCAAGCTTGCGACATCTCAAACTAAACAATCGCATAACTGTTTTCGCTTTGATGCCTATCAGCTTATTAGGTGCGCACACTACGATTTTTAGTAGAGCAACTAAGCAGTTAAATTGGCTGCGAAACAATTGACAATCACACAACAAGTATGACTGTCGATTGACTTTGACTAAATCGCACAACAGTTGTGCGATTGTTCAGTTCAAAGGTGTGCGTCCGCTCTTATGGATCGAAATGGTTTTTAAGAACAAATGTAACAATGTCACTTAAAACTGTATACTTTACAAATTCCAGAGAGTTTATAGATTTCCGATTTAGATTTCTTTGAGTTCATTTTTTAAATACTAACAAAGATTCGGAATATTATTTTTGTGTTTTAGATTACGAATGCATCAATAAATTAGTCTATTTTTTTTTTAGAAATACCAAGAATCATTTATACTAAAACAAGATATGTGGCAGCTTTTTTTTTTAAAAATTCATTTGACTTTAAATAGTAAACTGACCTTTTTCAAGTGTTTGTTGACCCATTTTGTGAAAGTCTTTTTCTGTATTGCATCTCGTTCATCTGTAAATAAAGAAAATAACATATTAATATTATCGAAGGATTTCTAAATGACCCTGTTGATATTATCTTAAATAGTTTGATTCTGTTTTAGCTAAAAAAAATTGATAAAATTTGTTCGAAACATTTTAAGATCTTTAGCATCAAATTCAAAATAATAAAAAGAATCCATTTCTGGTCTCATTAAAATTTTTACATTTAAATAAGATCAATAAAAATTAAATTAATGTATTCCCCGAACTTATAAATAAAGTCTTTCAACCAAATATTGTTATTTTATTTATAAAATTAGTCGATATTAAAGGCTAACAGGTTTTCATATTTCACACAATCGTTAATCATTTGAAGTTAATTTGTTATTATTAAAATTGACACAATAATCAAAGAAACATCGACAAATATGCAGATTATATAAAACTAGACTTAAAACGCAAAACAATATTTTAATCAAAGTATTAAAATTTTATTGAATTGATAAAATTCCTGCGGATTATGGTCAGCTTTGATTAAAAACTAAACTTAAAAAAAAAACATGATATTAGTTATGAATGTGAAGGTACACCGGTAGAGGTAGACCTAAAAAGAGATGGATGGGTTGCGTGAAAGGTGACATGATCAAGAAGGGAGTGATGACTGAGATGACGGATGATAGAGTTATTTGGAGGACGAAAACCCGGTGCGCCGACCCTACGGGAGTAGGATAAGGCAGGGGAGATGATGATGGTGAATAATCGGTAGGTTAAAAATAATATATGTATTTACTAGCTTTCGCCCGCGTTTTCGTCCATGTAGAATAAAAAGAAACAAAAGTGTATCCAGAATATCCCCTACATCTATACCAAATTTGATCGAAATCCGTTCAGCCGTTTAGGCTACGAACTCTAACAAACATCCTTCCATCTAAACTTTCGCATTTACAATGTTAGTATGAAGTATAATGGACTCGAAGTTGTTAGACAGCCAGCAAGCGAGTAAATTAGTGTAAGATTTACTTTGAAAATAAAGTAATTGTTTGGACCCCTTAAATGTCCTCAAGTTCAGGAGTTAAAGTTCAGGAGTTAACGCTTCAGAGTAAGCGTTACACCTTTGACTAAACTATCGTACAACTGTTTAGTCGTGCTTTGATTCCTATGAGCTTAAATGGCGTACTACTCGATTTTTAGTTATGCAACTAAACAGTTGAATGCGAAACAAACGACAATCGCACAACTGTTGTGCGATAGTTTAATCAAAACTACGCTCTTAACAGTAACGTGTTATCGAAATTAAACGAGAGGTAAATGAACTGTGAGCGAATCGATAGTATAATTTTATCTATTTATAGCGAACTATTTTAACAACCAAACACTAGACGTTGCCAAAATATTTCAGTGTCGGAAGTACATGGCATTGCACGTGTGGGATATTTTTTCTTTTATCGGCATCTGATTGTTTTAATATTTAATTTGTGTAATTAAGAATATCTATCTTTCTATACTATTATAATAAAGCGTAAACACACACTTCTTTGTTGCCTAAGATGTCAGCAATCACAGCATATTTTTGAATAACTGTTTTTTTTAATAAAAACCCCTACACCTACGTCACGCTTTAGGCTATATATTTTCACGCCGTTAAACATAGGGGTAAATATTTTAGATAAAAAACCAAATGTGAAAAATCGACCATAAGTTGTTGCCAACATAAAGGAAGCAAGATTGCCATGGTTTGACATCATGTTATGTCTTTGTAACACGTGAAATTGATAATTTGACAAATGTGAACAATAAAATGATTTTATATAATTTTATGCGAAGAAGTCGCATGCGAACAGCTAGTCTTATAATATTTTTTTAAAATCTAACTTTACATAATTATCTAATGCTCGTCATTCGAATACAAATACAAATAGAAATATTTTATTGGTAAAAGTTATTTTTTACAGATCTAAAGATACACACATAACACAAAATTAAGTTATACAACTAAATTCGAATAAAAAATTTGGAACACTGCATGCAAAATGATTCAATTAACATTATTAAACGAACCTTCAACAAAGGTCGTTACTTAAAGGGTCGCATTTCATTTGAACTCGATGAGATGCGTTCGCAAAACGAACAGCCTCATAAAGGAATGTGCACACGCCTGATTTTAATGCAAGTGTCTTGTCTGACTCAAATGCATTGCGCTGATTGAGTACACGCTTCACGGATTTGTAAAGGTGTGGACACATGATTTTGAAAAATAATATAATTCGATATTGTAAAGGTATTAATGGCGAAAATTTTTGTACACATTGGACATTTACACCATAAGATCTTTTCGTTTGCTGGTAAATGACCTCACGAGAGTGCTAGAGATAGTGAATTAAATTTTACTCTTATAAGTGTACGATTAATTAAAACAACGTTTTATTAATAATTTTTCAGACTCAATTTTAAGATGTATCAGAAAGATCTTTATCCTCTTTAACTTTTGCTCAACATCGTCAATACAAAACTTCGTGTGTATGCACCTTTACAATAAAGGGGTCGATTCACACGACATGTAGACTTCTGATGATTTCGCAAGCGATTCTTCGAACCGCTGCACATCGATGCATCTAAACTAGATAACGTAATATTCACTGAGAGAAAAAAATTAACTTTGCATATTGTTTGCAAAAAAAATTCACTGCGTTCACAAAAATTGTCTCTAAACCATTCTGTAGAAACTTCCCACATAGTGTAAACGTTTTTAGACTACAAATTAGAAGGAAAACGTCTACTGAATTAACTTTTAGGAATAAGTAACATTAATGCTCTTTTAAAAGACTATTACCCCCTTTTATGCGATACTAGAATATAAAAGAAACAAGCCCAAGTACAGTGCTATCCAAACTTAATAGAGGCTCGCAAATTTAAAGAACTACACAAAATACAATTTTAAGGAAAAAGCGATTTCTTAACCCGCAGTGAACTCAATTGGTAAGACATGAACCACGAGCTGCCATTAAGATTGAATCTTGTTATACCAGCTTGTAATATAACATTTTTACACGTAATAATGACTTAAGGCTTGCACAGCCATAGAGGGCGATCATCTTGCCATACGTGCCGCGAATTACGCTATAAGACCTTGACAATTGCAAATTACAAGTCGCAATGACCTAGTTGCAAATTTAAACCTTTAAATGTATGTTATCTAAGTTGCGACGGAACTGCGCACCGCTAACTTATAGATAACATACGCTAAGTATGCAAATTGACTGTGTAGTTTACTGTGGCTTAGACCTTCAACTTGAAATTTATTGGAGAGAACACTGGTGTAAAGGTTGATTGGTTACTTTCAGTGAAACAGAATAAGTAATAGTGTCGGTGATTGGGTCACTGGGTCTTTTTTATAAATTAAAACCTGTACCTAAGACCTGAATCCGCCAAAATGGCGAAGAGACCGCTGTCCATAGACATCCGCAATTGCAAATGCGTTGCCTACCCTTAATCGACGGAGGAGGAGACGCACAGAGATATCTTTATCCTTCCTACGCGTCTCCTCCACCGTCAAATCCTCTTTCCTTTCCCATCCCTTCCTTATAAGAAAAAACTGGAAATAGAAAGGGACTTTAATTAGGCCTCCGGCATCACACTCATGAGACGAAACGTGAAATTGCTCCCACTTCACGCCTGTCTTGTGTGTGGTCGTGCTATTGCTTAGGGCGAGCGGTCCCATTCGTGCGAAGATGTAAAAACCGCCATCACTATTAAAGTCTGTTAAATTTTATGTAATTGACCATGGTTTATACCAACCAGGCACTCCTAACTCCCGTAATCAAAAAGTAAGAGTGGTAGATTACGTTATCAAAATTAATCGAATTAATTACTTATTAAGGGATTTAAATCTATAGAAATATAACGGTAAAGTCCGTCTGTAGCAGTTCGAAAGCATCGACCTTCACAGTCGGACGGCGACTGGTTTTCTCTTGTCCTATTTCAACTACTGATGATTTTTAATAGTTCACTTTAGTTAAGATGAAGGACAGAAAATAGATATGAAAGAGACAACATTAGAGTGGGACAAAGTCATGGAGTTGCATGAAGGACAGTTGTCAAAATAATCAAAAACGTTACAGCATTCACATACAAAAGATTTTTTTTATATCTTATTACTAAACAAGAAAATGAAAAGTCATCAATATGATAAAACGTAAACACACACTACTTTGTGGCGTAAGATGTCAGCAATCACAGCATATTTTTAAATAAATAGTTCCTACACTTACCACACGCTTTAGGCTATATATTTTTACGGTATTAAACTTAGGGGGTACACAAATTGAAAAAAAAAACCTCTATGCGGGAAAGAGACTATAAACTACAAACTACCAACATTAAGGAAGCAAGGTTATCATGGTAACGGTAATTTTGACATTTGCAATTGAGTATTTGACAAATGTAAACAATAAAATATATTTTTTATAATTTCATGCGGTTGAAGCCCCACGGGAACAGATAGTCGCCTAATAAATTCGGTCGGACAAAACCATCTAAACTGAACGTATCCAATTCATTGGACAATTAAAATTTAATCTTCCATACGATATGGTGCAGTTACAATTAGAGGTTGAGTTGATTGTACTAATCAAACGATTTGTTCCAATGTACAGGGTCAGCGATCAACTGGTCACCGGTCGCCGGCTTTTATTGAACCAATCCGTAATAGGATATTATAAGATCAATTTTACCAGCGGTAAACCACGCGACTCTATTTTAGATGTCGCGTCCGCACTAGTGCGAAAGGGTTCTAAGATCAATTAGGGCTTTTTGAATTTAATCATATGTCTTATTTTCACTGGCGCCGTTAGGGCTGCTATACAAACCGCGCAGATTAGAGTCGCGCGGCTAACCGCTAAGTGGAAATCATAGTTATTTTGACATAGACTTAAATATGTAGACTTACATACATCGTACATCGGTAGAGGTAGACCTAGAAAGAGATGGATGGATTGTGTAAAAGGTGACATGATCAAAAAGTGATGACTGAGATGACGTATGATAGAGTTATGTGGAGGACAAAAACCTTTTGTGCCGACCCTACGGGAGTAGGATAAGGAGATGATGATGACTTGCTTCGTGTGCATTTAGTAATAAAAAAAATCTTTTAAAATGAGATCCATTAAGAAACCGGCATTAATTAGCTTTAGCAAGAATTTATTACATTAACGTTTTAATTAAAACAAACAACTTCGATACGAAACATTTCAGAACCGGTATATTTTTATAGCAATGGTAGTGATCCAAATATAATGAAATAATAAGAATTATAAAAGAGCTTGTTATCTTGTCATTTATGTCTTATTTTATATTTTGCGAAACATTAATATTGTATATGTGTGAATTTTTACATACAAAAAAGACAGAAAACAGACAAACAGTTGTATTGACAATATTTATGCTAAACATGGATGGATTTTGTGACGATATGTGTATGAAGGAAGTAAATTCAGATATGACGTCTGATAGAAATATATTGAAAAGCAGTACGTGAAAATTTTGTATGGGCAAAACTATGTTGACAGTAATGGCTGCAAAAGTTTCGCTTTCCTTTCGCTCGGTAAATAAAAAATAAATTTGTTGTGAATTTTTCCACCCAATATAACACAGTTAAAGGAATCAAAGATAATAAGGAAATATCTAATCTATCTCGATTACTTTATCTGTTCAATTCACTATCTCCGATACGGGTATATTAAAACGCAAAGTACAAATTAACATGTAAATCAGCTGATTAAATATCCTTTTAATACAAGAATACTACTAACTAAAAAATCTTATAAATTGCATTCTAAATAGTTTCTTAACGTTAAATTGATAAATACTTTATGCATAGGAATTATAAACTGAGATCAAGGAAAAGTATTTGATTTGGCACGTCGGGAATAAGCGTACACCTCCGATTGATGTGCCAATTCAAGGACTATTAAGAACAGGATATTGTTATGGGCTGTTGCAATTACGTGTTAGAATAAAACCAGTTCAGTAAACACGGATAGATATTTGTTACGACATAGATAAGATAGTAACTGATAACGGCTGTCTATTCAGCGTATTACAGAAATTATAAATTTTCTAGTGTTAATTTCATAACAGCTGTTTTGACTGTATTTATGTACTGGAACTAGAGTAAAACCTAATTACTGTATCATTAAGAATTTTTTTTGATTACAAATTTATACTGCTTTTCAACGATATATTTAATTGAACTCGAGTTAACATGTTTGAATGTTTAATTATTTGTTTAATTGTAGTGTATGGCAACACAGTGTATTGTCATGGCGTCATGCCACCAGGACAGTGCTGTCCGAGCCACCAAGGGGAGCACACGTCACAAGCATTCAGTACACAGATACTTAAGGTTACGTAGGGACCGATGTGAAGATCATATTGTATTAATACAACACTCTATTAAACAGTTATTAGTAGCAAAGTTAAAAATCTATAAACATAATTAACACGTTTACTGCGTAACAGGCCGATATCGGCCCGACGCGGTACTTAAGCAGGTGCAGACGAAGAAAACTATATCCCTCTCGCTAGTGCAAAATAATTACCTTAAGTGTATACATTACATTACATAAAATGTATACATTGTTTCCACAAAGTAGCAATTTAATCTATCATAGTGCTGGTGGGTCTAGAAAGACCTGCCTCGCACTGGCGGAAGCATTAAAAACGCGTTTTTGCCCGCCGTCGCACTAGATGTAAAATTATGTTTTTACCTGCCGCAGTTAACGTGTTAATTGTCATGCTCACACACGAACACACATTCTCTATATCCCATCACCACGAACCTGACTGCTGTATAAATAAGTCCCAACATGTTGTACCTTTGAATTTTGTCAGGTTCTCCTCGTACACCTGATCATGTTTCTCCGCCGGCTGATGTTCGCCGCGGTGCCGCTTCGGCTGGTGACCATCGTAGTACGACGCGCCTCCGTTCAGGCTATCCTGCATCGCCTCTTGCGGGTCAAACCCGAGACGTTCCTTGTAATACGCTTGTGTAGACATTTCGCACTATTTCACTTTTAACATAATTCACTACCAATCACCTTGGGTGAGTTCGATCACTTTAGGGTGGTATTATGAATGGATCCGCCAAAATCCAATCCACAAACCCGAGTCCGAGGTTGGTCTATCTCGATCGATGTCACCCGGTGACTACAAAAGGAAAGTTGTAGAACCCTTGACACACTTGATCTTGACACGATTTATCCACTCACTTGTATCACTGTTTTAACTTATAATTGTAAGTTTTTAATGTTAATATGGCAACTTTTTTTGTTAAACGTTAGTATTTTTTTTTTGGAATGATCGGTTACTTTTTTAAAATTCGAATGTTATTTAAAAGTCGTTTCGTATTGTTCGATTGGATGAATCATTTGTATGTAACGCACTTGTGTAAAGACAAACTGTGACAACCTGAGAACACAATATAATGGACATGTTATTTAGAGGTCTAATGTGTTTCTTGTATTAATCATTAACGCGTTCTTCGTATTCAAGGTAATTATAAACGGATTATAAACGAGAATTTGGGTAATTTCAACTTTACGCATTAAGGTATTCTATCTTGATATTAACTTCATACTTTTATTAAACTTAACACGTTAAATGCCGCTATTATTTTTAATTATTAGTTAACTTGCTGAGCTAATCGATAGCACTGAATATGTTAAGTAACTAATTTTAAGACTGACTTATTAATTTTTATGATTTGAACAAAATTCAGAATTCATTCGCTATAATTTTCGCGGCATATTAATATGTGGGACTGCAATACATGTACCTTTTTATATTTTCTAAAGATATAAAACGTTACATATAAAATACTAAAAACCAAAACCAGTTTAACAAGGATAAAATTATTTTTTTACCTGTTTTAATTCAGAATACATTTTATTTCACTTTCAAGACCGGTTAACAATAAAACATTTTTAATAAAAAGAAACAAGTAAAACCTTAAGTATACTCGTTGACGGATATCTTGGCTGCTCGGAACATCGTATAGTCCATGCGCAGACCAAAATTTTAGGTGTAAGTAGTGTAGGGGTTATATCGATGCCGGGAGACTATAGCGTATTGCGTCCCTCACTTTAAGCCGTTAAGATATTTGTAAAGACTTATACTAGACTTTTAGTAACTTATCAGTATACTTAGGCACAGGATATGAATACATTTTACACAGTAAACTTCATAAAGTATAAAAAAAGATTTAGGACATTCGAATAATTAAAATCTTTATCCTAACATCAACTAAACCAATTCTAAATGGTCACGAAATAAATTAAAATTACAGTCCGCGATATAATCTGTAACATCTATTGATAATAGAAACTTTCATTATAAGATTTAAAGGTAGATTTACAGTCAATGATTTTTTTTAATAAATATTATAAAAGCGATGGATGGATGGAAGTTTGTTAGCGTTTGTAGCATAAACGGCTGACCGGATCTCCATGAAATTTGACACAGGTTTAGAGCATAGTCTGGAAGAACACATAGGTTATTTTTTATCCCGGGAATAGTTACGGTTCCCGTGGAATTCATTTAGTTTTTTAATGTTTATTCGACCATTCTGCAACGGTTTAACATATCTTATTGAAATTTAGCACAGATATAAAACAAAGTCTGGAGTACACATGGGAAAAGGTTTTCGTTATTTATATAATTTGTTTGTTTTTTAATACCACGCGGACGAAGTCACCGGCAACAGTTAGTGTTTTAATACAGAGAAAAGGAAGGAATTTAGTTGTAACACTGTACACAGGAATCTTAACGAACAAATAAAAATGAAAAGAAAATGCACAACGAAACAACAAAGTAATTTGAGTCAACTTGATTATAATGTAAGATGTATCCTAGAGGGATAGGCAGAGATTATGGACTTTCATTTGTAGCGCGCTTACATCAACTCATGCTCATCGGATTCGAATGCTAATCTGCATTTATATAGAAAAGATTTGTATTTTTGTATATCAATAAACTCAAAAACTATTGAACCGATTTTAAAAATTCTTTTACCATTAGAAAGCAACATTATCACTGAGTAACATAGGCTATATTGATTGCTATTTTCGGATAATTCCGCGCCGAAATCGCGTGCAAAAGATAGTAACGAATTCCTTTTAAACGCTATTCATAATTTTATTTTATCGCATGATGGACAGGCAGCTTTGTATGGATAAGATAAAAATGTATACAGGCACGTTTAGATTGATATTTCCTGTGTATGTAAAGGGAATTAAGGGTTTAAAACATAGGAAAGGCAGAAGACACTTCACAAGTATATATCTATACTATTATAATAAAGCGTAAATACACACTACTTTGTTGCCTAAGATGTCAGCAATTACAGGATGTTTTTGAACAATTCTTTTTTAATAAAAAGCCCTACACTTGCGTCACGCTTTAGGCTATACATTTTAACGCCATTAAACTTAGGGGGTAAATATTTTGGATAAGAACCTTAATGTGGGAAAGAGACCAGAAGTTGCTGCCAACATCAAGGGAGCTAGGTTGTCATCATGTCATATCATTTTGGCATTTGTAATTGATATTTGACCGATGTAAACAATAAAATAAAGTTTTCGTAATTACACGTGGATGAAGTCGTACGGGAACAGCTAGTGTAAGATAATGGACACTGGTATGCGCTGTGTAGGTTCAATTGGAGTGTATATTTTTCCTTGTATTAATCCAGTGTTGTTCGATGGACTGGAATAATATAAACTCGCCGTGAATTTCCATTGCCGTAAAAATTATATTAAAACATACATTTTTTTAAATTAGATAGATGAAATGTAGAAGCAGTAACACAGTTATGGTTACTAAAGAAGGTATATCTTTACTAATATTATAAAGAGGAAAGATTTGTATTTTTGTATGTATTGAAATAACTCAAAAACTACTGGGCCGATATCAAAAATTATATCACCATTAAAAAGCTATGTTATCAGTGAGTAACATTGGCTATAGTTTTTATAATTTTTTAACTTTACAAAGACAGTAACGAGCAACAGCTAATGAAAAAATTTAAAAAGAAGAAATTAATTGAATATCAAAGTGATGTATAAATATCGTTGCAGTCAGAACTGTTATCATATTATTCTCAGAATGGATCCCTTGTCCAGGTAGATTTCTCGCTAAATCCTGTTTGTTCATTCTTAAAGCTTTGCAATTTCGAACAAATTCGAAGCGCGTGGAGACGGTTATTTAATTTTTCAATTTGACAGTAGCAAATATAAACGTTATTTCACAAGGATGCGAGTCACTTTAACCTTATATGACACGTGTTTGCCGCATTTTTGTAAATTTAACTACGCACTTCTTGAATACGACGATCGAAGGTTTTACTAAAAACTTGTTTTGACTAAAAGATGATCAACCTTGTTTATCAAATCTGGTTAATTAGAATCGAATTAATTTTTTAAATAATATCAAACTGCAAAGTCTATAGTATTATTTTTGACAATAAATAAAAATGCAAAATGCGTCGGTAAATCAATAAGACTACTATTTTCGTAAAATTAAAAAGCCATATAAAGTACAAGTCTCCTATTATCACTACTTGCAGTCATTCTAGCTGTTGTCTGCGACTCCGTCCGCACGGAATTAAAATAGTATTCTATGTTATTCTTTCACATTTACGCCAAATTTAATCTAGGTCCATTGCGCCGTTCTGGAGATAAATCCATCCAAGTAAACTTTTGCAATTATATTATTAAGAAGTAAGATACTGCTATATTTATGTATAGTTCGCAGAATTGGTTTTGTAATAAAAGAGTGACAACAGTTTGGGGTGGCGACTTGTCCGCTGTTCAAGGTCGCGTCTCGTTGTCAAAACCTCACCTCAGCCGTGGGAATATTCGCCACAATGTTGTAGGGCGCAGCTGCGAGCGGTTGCGTTAATACAAACCTTTACATAACAATAAAAATAATGTAGAGATATTTTGCTTCCTTAGTACAGATATACGACAAAATTGATCAGTTTTTTTTTTAAATCAGTGGAACAGATTAAAAAAGGAACCTTTTTATTAACCTCTGACTAAACTAACCGTATTTTTGTGACTATTTTAGAAAGTTATTTACTTATTTATCTTAAAAAAATACTATTTTTAAATATTAAGGGACTCTTAAGTTTCACGAAACTCATTGGTTATTGTTTTTTTTTACTATTTGAGTCTGTGTCTATTTTAATAAACCGCTACGCTTAAAGTCTGTCCACAAATTCAGAAAAACGATTTGGAGGTTTTGTTATAGTCACGAAGTTTATTACCGGATGTTGCCAAAGATTGTGCAATTTAACAATTATTGTGATATCTTTTTGATGCATTAACAAATGATTATTTTAGTGATTAACAATGATTAGTAGTAGGATATGTAATTTCAATACTAATCTTAATAATATTATAAATGTAAAAGTTGGGATGGATGGATGTTTGTTAGAGTTTGTAGCCCAAACGGCTGAACGGATTTCATTGAAATTTGGTATAGATGTCGAGGATAGTCTGGAAGAGCACATAGGCTACTCACTTTTGTTTAATTTCATTGCACGCGGACTAAGACGGGGGCGAAAGCTAGTAAAAACATTTTTTTACTTGACTTCACTATCATTATTAAAAATTTAATTATTATTTTAGTATGTCTTTACGTACAATCAAACATGAATAACGGTGAGAAAAAACCAGTAATTCTCACATGCATAAATCAAGAAATGAACTGAATTACGAGAGTATTATCTGCAGACGTGCGTCAAGATTTCCTTTTTACGATCGCCCATTACCAATTGCTTCTTCACTTACTGTGTGTGCATACATCTTGGTATAGCAGTTCACTACCGACATTGGTCGTCTTTAAAATATCTTAGTAGTGCAGTCATTTGCGTGAGCTGTAACCTTCACACGCATCCCTTTATATCAAGGACCTTATTTTGACTTTCAAATACATTTTTGAGCGACTTCTTTTTTTCTAGCATAAACGTACGTCAACCCGTGACTAGAGCCAGATACATTTTTGACAAATCGTGGCTATAGAAAATACGTAGGTTTGCGAAATGCGATCTTAATCAATCTATACTAATATTATAAAAAAGGAAAGATTTGGATTTTTATACGTATTGAAATAACTTAAAAACTAACATGCCGATTTCAAAAGTTCTTTCGAATTTAAGAAGTTACGTTGTCGGTGAGTAATATAGGCTACATTTTTTATTTTATTTTACGTAAAGTCGCGAGCTACAGCTACAAATAAAGTACGTAGATAAAAAGTGTGTGGTTATACATATTTATAATAGAAAATAAAACCACGTTGGTTACAAACAATTAAAACACGTGTTTAACTGTACAGTCTCTCTACATTTTGTGGTACAGCAAGTCATTGTATGAGTACTTCGGCAGTAGATTGGTGAGATTCTTTTGTTT